GTGGTCACCACCACAGTCAACGAGACCCAGAAAGTCAACGACCGGCGGTAGAAGATCTTGACGGCGGTGACGACGTGGACGGAGTACGGATTGGCGGCGCCGCAATTGGCGAAGATGGTGATCAGCACGTGCTCCTTCACGTTGAATGGCCCCGGGTTGAGCGTGAACTCGAAACTCCGCCCCGGGAAGAACACGCGCCGGGTAACCGCCTTCGCAAGCAGGTGCCCCAGCGGCACCACCGCGATCTGGGCGGAGACGGAGCTGATCGTCAGCGGCTCCCGGCGGTACCAGAAGAACTGATTGAGGAAGGAGAGAAGGCCGCAGGCCAGAGCGCCGAGGACCCAGACCCGGAATGTCACGGCAGGCAGTGTCGGGTCGTCGGTGTTCGGAACTGTTAGCGCCACTTGCTCCACCGGAGAGCTCTCCTCTTCCGCCGGGCTCCCCGGCGTCTCCTCCTCGCACATGGGAACTGCAAAATTTTGCAATTTCTTAACATTTGTTATCTGAATTCGGGGGATTCAAATGGTTAATTAGAAGGGACGGAGCTTACTCAGTGGGGCGGAGAATTCTTCATCGGCCATTTTCGCAGTCATTAGGGAGACGGTGGAAGTGTGGTGGTGGTGGTGATATTCATAAACAGGGCCATTACCGGGAAGGAAATGAATCTGGACGGAATAGTGGGGGAATGCGGCGGTGACTTTTGCACTGGGAATAGGTTGGAGAGCTGTCAAATGTCAATTAGTAGTTGTATTGAGTCTATTGACCACCCTTGACCTTCCTAAAAAACTTTGGATCAATCTAAATTTTAAAGGATTATATAAGAATATTTAAAATTTGTGGATTATATAAATTTCATGGATTGTTTTAACTCTACATCCACTTAGATAGATTTTATTGTATTTTTTAGCAAAATTTTAAAAGATTGTGTTAGATTGTTTAAAATCCAAATAATAATAATAATGTGGAACAAAAAAATTTAACGTGAACAAAAATAAAAATAAAAAAGCCAAATATCGATCAAAAGCAAAAAATTTACCGTGAAAACAAAATTGAACTATTAGAAATAAATTGAACAAAAAGCAATAAAAAGGTCAAATCAAAATTGAACCAAAAGCAAAGAATTGAAAACAAAACAAAAATTGAAAAAAATATACAGAGTGTAAAATTTACCATGAAAAAGAAATTGATCAAAAGCAAAAAAATTACCTTGAAAGGAAAACCAAACAAAAACAAAAGATTTTTTTTTAAAAAAAAATTACATAATGTAAAATAGGGATTAGGGAGTATCAATAACAAAATCGGGGGCACCACTAGAGGGCCGCAGATCCGATCTCTAAATCCCTCCGCCGCCCTGCAATCCTATTTGTCGCATACCTTTTCTCCTTCATGTGCCATCGAGTTTGCAATTGACACTGGTATTCTTCTAGCGTACGAAAGAGGGGGCGAAGGTGATAGATTCGAGAAGTGAAATCCCTACATTGTATGAAAGATTTGTAAATGGATTTCTATTTATATGATGAACCTTGAAATCCATCAAAATCTGCTTTTAGCCAAAATTGTTGAAAATCTGTAGACTTTTTAATACCTTTAGATTCTGATGGATATTTGAAAATCTTAATTGAGTACGTCTAGATTTTTAAGGACTTTTTAAAATCTTAATTGAATACCCATAGACTTTTCAAATCCAAAAAAATACTGCAGAATCAACTTTTAATACACCCCCCTTAGTCGAGTTCGAGTTCTAACAAGTAAGTTATTCGGTAATTATGCTAAGATTAAAAATTCTGTAATTTGTAAAAAGAATTTAATTTACTTCATTTTAGTAACCGTACAATCCAGCCGGATCTAAAGGGGTTTACAGGGAGGAGCGGAACAAACTAGGATTAGCTGGCTGGTAGCATATTCATAATGTTGGTAAATAATATTTTAGTAAATAAATGATAATTTATCTTTTCAACTTTTTTAGTAATCTCTTTAATCATGTTATGAGGATGTTTGTAAGTACCGTGAGTTCTCAAAAAAGTAAATGTGGCAAATCAAAATCAAAAATTCGTTACTCTGGACTTATATGAAAATAGATTAACATTTATGGCATATTTTATACATCCGATGTCATAATCCATAATCTTAAGTTAATTTGTAAACACTTAGAATTGCGTTTTAGGGAACTAGAAGCTCAAAAACTATTTTTAAATACTTTCTAACACAACCTATGTAAATTATAGTTTGATAGTAGCAATTTTAGTGTCAATGTTAGTAAATTTCTAGCAATTTTGAAGTTATACTGCAAATGTAGGATGTGGTTAATGTGAAACTAGGCCTCCAACATATATATTGCACCCTGAAAATGTAATGAATAATTAAATGGCATGGTTCCATGTCATTGGGTAATAGTGTCATTCCAATGCCACTAGTTGGTAACCCCCATCTTGACTCGAACCCACCCCTTATCTCCGTCAACGTAACTAGACCGTTCCAAGTTTAATTGAGTTGGGGTCAAACAAATATACTCCAAAGTTTAGGGGTCAAAATAAAGAGGATGGAGGTGGGTTTGGGTCAGATCGAGGTGGTGAGATTTAGCTACGAATTTTATGAGCAAAGCAATGGAATGGTCAGTGACATCGGAGTGCGTGATACCTTAGCTCAATGGCAAGGAAACCACTCCGATAATAAAAATGCACTATTGATTTGTCAAAATGCACTGGCCCTCAGAAGATTAAATACTCTCATTCCATTTTATAAAAAAAGTTTCACACTCAGTATTTTCTTTATTGCCCATCTCAATCAAAAGATTCATTTTCTACCTTTAACAAAATTTATGGTCATATAATCTTGAAACACTTTAATTTTGTGAAGTTTAACACAATTTATGAGAGTCTATCCGACATCGAAAGTTGAATAGAAAAGTAATCGGTATATAATATATTGAGTTGAATTAACTATTAAGTATTTGATTAGATTCAATCTTGAGTTAAATTAAGTGTCTGTATAAAAGTTTTTTATTTTTAACGGCCTATTTGTCGTTAGCCTAGTTGTCCGCATGTGAAACGACGTGTGACTCATATAACCCCGATTATTCGTCGGTGTCCGGAACTGTTAGCGACTTAGCGCCACTTGCTCCACCGGAGAGATCTCCTCTTCCGCCGGGCTTCCCGGCGGCTCCTCCTCGCACATGGGAACTGCAAAATTTTGCAATTTATTAACGGCCTCGTTTGGCATCAGCGTTAGCTATTAGCGTTAGCATTTTGAAAAGGCTATCCGACGGTAACCTTTAGAGTTAACGTTTTCGGAATTAATCTACACCATTAAAATTTTATTCAAAACGCTAACGCTAATCGAAAACGCTATCCTCAAACAAAGCCAACATTTGTTGTCAGAAATTGGGGGATTCAAATGGTTAATTAGAAGGGACGGAGCTTACTCAGTGGGGTGGAGAATTCTTCATCAGCCATTTTCGCAGTCATTTTAGGGAGACGGTGGAAGTGGTGGTGGTGGTGGTGATATTCATAAACAGGGCCATTACCGGGAAGGAAATGAATCTGGACGGAATAGCAGGGGAATGCGGCGGCGACTATTCCACTGGCAAGAGGTTGGAGGGCTGTCAAATGTCATTTAGCAGTTGTATTGAGTCTATTGACGATTGACCACCCTTAACCTTCCTAAAAAACTTTACTAATCTAAAACTTTACTAATCTAAAATCTAAATAAAGTAGAGTCGAATTCGACTTCTGACAACTGCATTATTCTGTGTAATTTATAATTAAAATCTAATTTACATCATTTCACTAATTGTTCAGCCTGCCTAGCCAGATACGGAGTATAAAAGGGCTCATGGGAAGGAGCGGAACACACTAGGATTAGCTGAGTGGAAGCATATTCTTCATAAATGGGATGAAGAAAGATTTGAAAGTCCATGATTTACACACAAATAAAAATAGAGTTTACTAAAAAAATAAGTTGGTAAATAATATTTTAGTAAATAAATAATATTTTATCTATTTAATGTTTTAATAATCTCTTTAATCATGTTATGAGGATGTTTGTGAGTACCGCGAGTTCTCAAAAAGGTAAATGTGGCAATTCAAAATAAAAAACTCATTACTCTATACTTTGATGAAAAATAGATTAACATTTATATGGCATGTTTTATACTTCCAAAGTCAGAATCCATAATCCTAAATTAATTTGCAAACACTTAGAATTTGTCTTTTAGGGAACTAGAAACTCAAAAATTATTTTCAAACACTTTGGAACACAATCTATGTAAATTATAGTTTGATAGTACCAATTTTGGGGTCAATGCTAGTAAATTTCTAGCAATTTTGAAGTTACTCAGCAAATGTAGAATGTGGTTAATGTGAAATTGGGTCTCTAACATATATATTGCACCCCGAAAATGTCACAAATAATCAAACGACATGGTTCCCTTGTCGCTGGGTAACGGTGTCATTCCAAAACCGCTAGTTGCTTCGGTGCTCCCACCATAAAATTTATGGTTCATACCTCCTAACCCCACTGGAAACCCCCATCTTGACCCGAACTCACATCTTATCAAAATGATGAGGATGGAGGTGCGTTCGAGTCTGGTCGAGGTGGTGTGATTTAGCATGAAATTAGGAAGTATAAACCACAAATTTTACAAACAAATCACCGAAATGCCCGGCAGCATCAGAGTGTGTGATTCCGTCGCTCAATGGTAAGGCAACTACGAGTCAAGCTCGGGTCTACCCCGTTGGCACTCATAGTGTTTGTCAATTGCCCAAAGCCCACTCGCAATGTAATTCTCGAGGTGAACATATGGGAGTAGTGAATACCCTCATGTGGTGTAGGGGCCACAATGCTTTCATATCGAGAAACAATCCATTCACGTTCGTCTTAATGATTCGGTCGTTCACGGTTCACCCAACTATGAATTGTATTAACTCATCTACTAATTACCTACATTTACAGCTCCAGATAGCTAGTACGAGAGTATATATATATATATGTATAAATTGGAAAGAAAAGTCCGGCCGGGCATGCCACTCTAGTTTGCACCATCGGAATCATCATCTCACCGGAAATAATGGTGGAAAGGGAGGCCGGGAGATCCATCGCCGAAACCCCCACGTGGGCTTTCGCCTCCGTCGTCACCGCCTTGGTCTGCCTCGGTTTCCTCATTCACGGTGGTCTCAATAAGATTGCCATGGTATGTGCGCACTGTTCAATATTCATAACAAATTGTAATCTTGGAGTTGTATTTTTTTAATTTTACCTTAGTGTACAGTAAGATGTGATAAAATAATATAATCATGTCACATCTACTTTATGTAGTTTTTAGATATATAATTTTTATTTTTAAATTTCATACCAATTTTTATATTAAATGATTTGAAATTGTTGGGGAAGCACGGAACAAAACACAACGGAAGCGTATAAAATCTTTTTCCCAAATTAATGAGATGAATAACAAGCACAATAAACTCTGAAAAATTCAGCAGCACACACACAAATAAATGACAACGATAATAAAGTGGATGACACACGATTTACGTGGAAACCCTAAATCGGGGAGAAAACCACGGCCGCTCAACAACGGCTCCCAAACTTCCACTAATCACCAAGAATCAAGTGGGTACAACAAGTTCTCCTCTCTAGTAAACACTAGAGGCATACACAATCATCAAGGAGCAACCTTGGAACAACAACAATCAACAATTCACCATAAAATGGAGTAAAAACTTCCAAAAACGCAGGTCTGAAAACGCAGCCAGAAAACAGCCTTCCGGGCATCAAAACGAGAAACTGACCGTTGGATATGAAGAGGAGTATGTGAGGAACAACATACTAAAATTTGAGCACGATCGGACTTTGTTTGGCCTTCGATCCGGACGAGAAAAGTGGCTGCTGCACAATGTGGCGGAAATCTGATTTTTCTTTCTTTTTCCTGCGTTAGCTACTGCCTTCACTACTTCTCCTCTTCCCTTTTTTTTTCTTTAGTTAGTAGCCACACACAATACAAGAGAATGGGCCACCAAAAAAAATATTTGGGCTAAAGCTTTACACAAAAAATAAGCCCAAATAGAAAAGATAGATGTAAAGTATTTGTCCAATTAAAATTGGACTTTTCCTCCATGTAGGAGGGATATTTCCCAACAAATCTCCCCCTTACTCCTACATGGAGTGAGCAAACAAACCGGCCTTTTCTCGACAAAACACGAGTTTCTCCTTCGGCATAGTCTTGGTCAACATATCCGAGCAATTCTCACTTGTGTGAATCTTCACAAGTTCAAAAGACTTATCCTCCACGGCTTCTCGAATCCAATGATACCTTCTCTTAATGTGTTTGGTTCGAGAATGAAACGCGGCATTCTTGGCAAGGTGGATGGCACTTTGTGAATCACAATGAAGAAGATAATTTTCTTGTTCCAAACCAAGCTCCTCAAGAAAATTCCTCATCCATAACAACTCCTTGCCTGCCTCAACAGCTGCTATATACTCTGCCTCAGTAGTGGACAAAGCAACACACTTCTGCAATCTTGATTGCCATGAAACTGCAGCTCCAGCAAATGTCATCAAGTATCCCGAGGTAGACTTTGCAGTATCAACATCTCCAGACATATCTGCATCTGTGTACCCATCNAGGTACCTCTAAGATATCTGAGAATCCATTTCACGGCTGCCCAGTGCTCTTTACCCGGATTCGACATGTAGCGGCTAACAACCCCAACTGAATGTGCAATATCTGGCCTCGTACATACCATGGCATACATCAAACTACCCACGGCTGAAGCATAAGGCACATTGTTCATCTCTTTCTTTTCTTTCTCACTTGTAGGGCAATGGTCCATACTCAACTTCATGTGGCCTGCAAGTGGAGAACTCACGGGTTTAGCATTGCTCATGTTGAATCTACCAAGCACCTTCTCAATGTATCTCTCTTGGGATAGCCAAAGTTTCTTGTTCTTTCTATCCCGCGTGATCCTCATAGCTAAAATCTCTTTAGCAGGGCCTAAGTCCTTCATTGCAAAGGACTTACTCAATGACTTCTTCAAGCTGGAAATCTTCTTGGTGTCCTGTCCAACAATCAACATATCATCTACATATAAAAGGAGAATAAGAAAGTCACCTTCGGGGTAATTCTTCACAAACACACAATGATCAGCATGTGTTTTATGGAAGTCATGATCAATCATAAAGGACTCAAACTTCTTATACCACTGCCGAGGTGCTTGCTTCAAACCATACAAACTTTTCTTCAAACGGCAAACTAAGTTCTCCTTTCCCTTAACTTGAAAGCGCTCAGGTTGTTCCATGTAGATTTCCTTATCAAGGTCACCATGAAGAAATGATGTCTTCACATCAAGTTGCTCAATCTCCAAATCCATGCTCGCAGCTAAGCCAAGTATAACTCGAATAGAGGTCATCTTCACAACTGGAGAAAATATCTCATCAAAATCTATGCCCTTCTTTTGACTGAAACCCTTCACAACCAATCTTGCCTTGTACCTTGGTTGTGAGCTACTCTCATCATACTTTAGTCTGTATACCCACTTGTTCTTGAGTGCTCTCTGGCCTTTAGGCAACTCTACAAGCTCATATGTGTGGTTCTCATGCAAGGACGTCATCTCATCTTGCATGGCATCGTACCACTTCTCGCGGTGCACATGTGACATAGCCTCATCATATGTCTCTGGCTCTCCTCCATCCGTGACTAGCACAAAATCATCCTCCGAAAGTCTTGTGGAAGGTTTTCTGACTCTGGTGGATCTTCTCAACTGAGGTGGTAGTGACTCTGAATGTGGTTGTGACTCTGGAATATCATCACCACCATCATCATGATTATCATCATCATGATGGTCATCTGCAGGAGACTCAACTGTATGATCATGCATATCTCCCCCATGATCTTGAGAGACTACAACAGGAGGAAGAGGTAGAACTGGATCAACTGTGATGCATGGAGAAGGATTTGCCTGCTTCTTCTCACAATCTTCAATAGTCTGATCTTCAAAGAAAATCACATCTCTGCTTCTGATCACTTTCCTATCACGTGGATCCCATAGTCTATAGCCAAACTCATCCTCTGAATACCCCAAAAATATGCACTCTTTGGTCTTCTTATCAAGCTTGGATCTCTCATCTCTGGGAATATGAACAAATGCTCTGCAACCAAAGACTCTCAAATGCTTATAGGAGACATCTTTCCCTGACCAAACTCTCTGAGGAACATCACCTTCAAGAGGAACTGAAGGGGAAAGGTTAATCAGGTACACGGCAGTGAACATTGCCTCCGCCCAAAAAGACTTTGGCAGCTTAGCATGAGATAGCATACACCTGATTCTCTCTTCAATTGTTCTGTTCATTCTTTCTGCAACTCCATTAAGCTGAGGTGTCTT